AGAAATAAAAATGCTATGACTGAAGAAGAATTTCCCCCGCATTTAAAAGAACTTCATAACTTACTAGAGAGAAAAGCCGAAGAAGACAGACAGATGAGAGAAAGAGAACGAGACATGTATAAAGTGCCTGTCCACTTAGCTGATTTTATGGAAGCCGGCGTACGCAGCTGGCAATTTGATTGTAGCGGAACCACTACTGTTGAACAATTAAAGGCTATGGCTATTGAGGTAACAATTTAATTAATTGGTTTATTAATAATAATAATTCATATTTACAAAATATAAGTGGAAGATTTTCAATTCTAGTATTTTAGAGTCACCAAACCGTGTCGGTTAGTTATTTTCAATAAACAGGAGCAAAAAGTTCTTGAAAACTTGGAAGATAAGAGCAATTATTTAGTATGTCACTTGAAATATTCCTTGACATATGTATTGTTACTTCAAATGATTGACACAGAAGACAATAGAAGTGTTGTATCTACTCCAGGGTGTAAGAATAACAACTTGACTTTAAAATAATAATATTGTATGCACTAATATGCTGTTTCTTGATCAGATGTTTTGATGAAATTATTCATGATAAACTTGGATGACAACGAAGAAGATATTGATGTAAGTCATCCGGTAGAAATTGAAATTGAACAAAACAATGAGATAAAAGACCTCAGGAATCTGCTTTACACAAAATACGATATTCCTAGGGAATCAGTGTTGCATTTCGCCATTCAGAGCAGTTCAAAACCAACATTGCTTGAAGATAGTGCACCGTGTTCATCTATCTACACTAATTACGTATGTATTGTTAAAACATGAGTTTCATTAAACAGTGGTGCTCGTGGTCCATTTAACTACTTTAGTGTTTGTCCTACAGGTTTTTGTGTTCATCGAACGTCATGCTATCGAACAATCAGCTTTGTCGCACAAGATGAAAAACATAATCACACGATACGACAATACAATCCTATTACAATTCATCTTGCCTACAAAAGATACAGGTATAGTATTTTACTGTTTTTATAACTAAAATATATGTGACTAATGTACTGATACATTTTTCACCCGAAAGCGTGTAAGAATGTATGATTTCACTGCACATAATATTATCATTTAAAACGCTTTTAACAGAAATTTAACTTGACACATGTTAAAATTATAAGTTTAATTGTATATAATATACCTACTATATTTTGTATGATTAAAATAATGATAATTCCTAAGGTACCTATAAAGGATAAAAACACAATCATTATTAAACTATTATATAATTTGGTACCTATTCTATATTCAACACCAATTTTTTTCAGAAACTTTACATAAATTGATGAAATTATACAATAAAAACTCTGTAAATGGCGACAGTGAAGATATGTCTATGCTACCATTAGAAAAACAAATTGCAGGTGTGTTGGAAGGTAAGCATTAGCAAATTTTTCAATGTCACATTCTTAAATTGTATATTAAAATTTGTTTTGTCTTCTTCAGTGGATTGTGATCAGTCAACTGAAGACAATAATTTGGTTGCCATTCCTGAGGATATGTGTGTTGTAGCTAGTGGTAGTGGAAGTGGTGATCAAAGCGAGGACAGTAGTATTACAGACAGTGAAAGGTAATGATTTTTGTGAGAGATTTGAACATATTGCTTAAAATTATTCTTTATTCCTTAGAACAATCAAAGGAGATACTGTCGAAGATTATCATATGGATTCTCCTACTTTTGAACATGACCCAATAAAGGTATATCAGTTTTTTTTCTAAAATTCTTTGGATAATACATTATATTATTCAAAAATATGTTCAGGTTTATGATCAAGGCAGATTAGAGGAAAACTGGGATGGGACTGAAGACGACGATGATGATAACGAATTCCAGTTAAATGAAAAATATTTTTTTAAAACAACAAAGTTATCAGACAACAAAACATCTGAGGATGATGATGGTAAGCAATATAGACATATTTTGAGATGGAAATGAAGCTCTGAATTTTTGATTTTTAAATATTATATCCTGCATATTATTTTAAGATTTTACCAAGACCAACTTAACCCATGTTACTCTTGTTCATGTAAATTAGTGATCACCTCACCTGTTTTCATACATTTTCCTTATGTTTGAATGTAGAACTAAAATAATATTGAAAGTTTTTTGTTTATCAAAATCATATACTGTAAAATATAAATGTTATAGAAAAACTGTACGCCTATGTCGATAAACGCATGACTGTCAAAGAGCTCAAAACTCAATTAATACCATACATCAACATACCATCTGATTTTATTATTCTAAATCGATGCAAATCGGACACAGAATTAGAAGAATTGGCATTACCTAGTAGTTCTTTAGAAGATTTGGCCTACTCAGACACAATTAAAATCACCATGGGTCAAGCATTACGTGATGGTGAATATCGCGGTATCATTTATTGGATCGAACCACAAGAGCAGACAACAAAGGTATATAATCAAATAATTACACAACTTGTTAAATAGATATTAATATACTAAATATAAAAATTCTATTTTTACTGCTTGTAGATTCATTTTAAAAAAATGTTTGATTGGATAATAACGATGGGAACTTCAGTCTTAGACACCAAGAAAGACCTATTGGTTAAATTGAATAAGACACAAAATATTGATATACCTTTAGACAGGTAAATAATTTGACAACTATACTCTATTCAGAATAAGAATTCCCACTTTGAGTACGCAACTGAGCCGCCAGGACCCCCTGGCGAGTGTCGGCTGCGCTGTGATTGGTCGCTAGTTATCGAAAGCTATCATCACCCGTCGCTATTGGTAGACGCCGCCGTGTATACAGATGATCACAATAACAAGCTCGTAATAATTATTACCTATTATGTTATAATGTATATTTTTTTTCTTTACTATGTTTCTTGTAAAAACCTTATTGTTCTGCACCAAACACACAATGCCTACGTCGTATACAATTATTCGTGAAACGTATACATCTGCAACACGTTGGCGGCGGCGGTACAGCTAACATCAGCGCCAACTGGTGGTAATAGACATGCGTGAACAAGACGAGTTTTCGTCAAGCGAGTGGGAATTCTTAGTCTGAATAGAGTATATATAAAATGTATTGTTAACTGTGTATGATATATTATTGTAGGTGTCGTTTGCGTAAGAAAAAAAAGGACTCTCTGATGCGATGCTATTTCAATGAAGAAATCTGGAATGAAGATATTGGTCAGGGGTGGGAAATGGTCATATTGGATCTAAAAGATCGTTCCGAATTGGAATTAAATAAAACCAAACGACTTATGTTTGTCAATCATGTAGAAGAAGCACTTCCGGGACGTTGTATAACTGAAATGGAGTTTGTTGTTGATATAGCATCATCAACATCTGCTAACACACAGCTGGCCACTGAAGTAAGTATTCGTCGGGACCTGGATTGTCATTATCATTTTATATTATAAATTATTGTCATTTAGATTTCCAATAAACTTAATATACCTGAAGATCAGTTAGAAATTGGTTATAAACATGGACACTCAACTGAAATTGCTTGGAAATCTAGTGTGTTCAATTGGTCATTTAGTTTATCTGACGACAACATCATTTTATACTGTCGGTAAGTAAATATTTAATTCAATCATTAAATAAGTATACATAATTATCTTTCATAAAAATAATTTTCTCCATTTTTATAAATTTCTTATTTCATTTTTTTAAAAACAGTAATGCTGCGGATAACACATCCAACAAAGAAGCACCCAGCAAATGGCGTAGGCAACGCAAAGAACGTTCGTTAAGAATACACACTATGAACAATGATTAAACATTATTTATTGTGTAATGTTTGGTAAATGTTAAATGTATTTATTACTGAAGGAGGTAAAAATCAGTTTGAAATACTTGTTTTAATCTGTCTTTTTCAAAAAGAATTTAATTTTCTACAACCTAAAAAACTTCTTCAAAAATACTCATCTGTTAATTTTACAAAATTCTTTAGATTCATTTTTATCATTAATTGTGTACATTTGTTAACATAAAAAATACAAATTTGTTTCCTAGTTTAAATCTTTTATCTGTGATACAAAAGTTAATAAATAATATTAAATGTAGATTTTGTAACATGTATTAAAACAAAAAAAAAAATTTTAAGTCTTAAAATTGAAAATATATTTTCTACAACATAAAAAAAGTCATACATATTATATATATATGTAAGTATTTACAAATTTAATAAATATTTTTTAAACCAACAAACTGTTGCATACAAAAATAAATTAATAAATGTGACTAGTAGCACTCGTCCGCTCGTACATAATATTATATATATTCTAAAGTTTTACTTAACTTAAAATAAACTAGTTGCTATTTTATTGTTAAATATTAAAACATATAAACAAATTTGTAAAAAATATAAATATTACCTGAGCTATTTTTATTCTATTTTGTATCTACACATCAAGAATACAAGTGAAACCTTACTTGTTGAGCCTCAAAATTCGCTGTCCAAAAGTCCATTTATAACATAACAAAACAAACCAAACACAAATTGATTTGATAAAATATAAAATTTGCTGGTCATTTTTAAATGCCTAAAAATCATAAACATGTATTGCTCAGATCTTTGTTATGAAAAACGTAACATTGTAACGTTTTATGTCTAATTTATAAAAATTAGATTATTTTGTTAGTTTGTTTTTTCCTTATTTTTGTATTATGTATTATTTATTATTTATTATTTTTACTATTATTTTGTAATTTAAAGTGTTTAAAATAAGAAAACTTTCATAGTTGTAACATTCATTAAAACTTTCAAGTATTTTAAATTGTACTTAAATATAAAACGGTGAAAAATGTATTATACATTTCTAGAACAAATGTTAATTGATCACCGAAAAGTTATGGCTTATTTTCAAAATTGTTGAGAAGAAAAAAGTAAAGAAAAACTCATAATATAAAAATATATACAAAAAAAACACAATTGTTAAGAATTTTTGATTTTTAAATCTAATAAAAAAGGGTTCCTAATCGTTGTTGTTATTGTTGTTCAACGATGTAATTTTACCACAAGCAGATTCCTCATGTTTGTACAAGTACGACTTGAGTGCAAACGCTTTGTTGCATTTCTGACAGACGTGTGGTTTTTCAGTAGAATGAGTTTGTAGATGAGCTCGCAAGTTTGACTTATCCGCAAACGCTTTGCGACATTTTTCGCACTCGTAAGGCTTTTCGCCTGAAAAATTGAATAAGAAATGAATACATAACCCTGTTGAGTTAATAGAAAAAAGTTTCCAAGCTGATCTACCCATCGAGAAATAGCTGCTCACAGAGGGTAGCCGAGTAAGCGTATACAATTTACTGCATCTATACATTTTTTATTAATGAAAGAACCGTAGAAATATATAATTGTTAAGACTACTTTAAAATGTATTGACCGCAGTCTATTATAGTCTATAAAAGAGTATGAATTACTAGTGGAGAGGAGTGTTTGAAACATTTTCCTTTACAACTTCCCCAACACAGACATTTTATACTTGGTAAACATGTCAACAATAAGTTAAGGGGTATCAATAGTATGGAAAAATGCTATGAAAATTAATTTTTGTACTTCCAACAATAGCCAATATGGTTTATTGAATGGTTTGAGATTATAAGACACCTATCAATATTGTAGAAGAGAAGAATCTCTACAAGTCAATTTTCAATATTTCAAAATTATTAAACTCAATAATTCAAATTCACATTGTGATTTAGTGTGTAAAAAATGCTGCGTTATTGATATGTACGTGCACGTGCGGGAGCTATTTATTTCATACACAGTAAATCACACTAGAAAATTGTCTACATCAAACTCCTTATAAACGGATGGTGTCCAATCCCCTTAAATTAAGTATAATAAAATGTAATTTGAAACAATTGCAACAGCACCTTTTTGTGTTCTAAAAGTTGTATTTAATTTAATTTAATTTTGCTATTAGAAATTATTATTACTTGATCCCCCTTCTCCAATATTAAGTATTATGTCTCTGTCGATATTATGTGAGCAGCTTACCAGTGTGGGTGCGAATGTGCCCTTGCAACAACCATGGTCTAGAGAAGCATTTACCGCAGATGCCACATTTACAAGACTGACTATGTGTTCGCATGTGCATTGAAAAAGCTGGTATCGATACATATACCTGCACAGAAATAAACAGAATATAAAAGCACATTGAACAGTGGCAACATTAATAATTGGTAAAAATATATTTTAACATAAAAAGTTAGGATTAAAATATGTAGTTATAGTTAAAAAGAGGTCAGGGACAAGGGTTGTAACATAATTGTAACTTGTAAAGGGTACTCGGGGGTATCCTACTGTCCTGCAAGTGGTAGTGGTTATATTAGAAATATAATATATAGTTACAAATTGAAGATGATTATATATATAAGTTTTGGTTTTTTTTATACCAAGTAGGCATTTGAAAAACACGATACAATATTAATAATATTATATAGTGAAAACTGAGATCTCTCAAAATGAATGTATATTATGTATTTATGAATTTTTAAATAGTATAATTATTAATTATCAAATATGCCCAAGAAATTGTAAAATTAAGAAATTATGTCCTAAAGACTAAAAAATTACAAGATATGCACATTGACCTCTTTGTTTTCTATATTGGCTCATTAATACGACCTTGAGGTCTTTTTCAATGCTTAGGTATCAGTTATCACAAGTGGGTAGTAGGGAGATCTTGACGTGATCTATATTCAATTTATCTATGTATACATCACTATATGCACGATACTACCACCCTTCTCCGAGGGGAGACATGTGCGGTCTTCACTACCTACCTAGTTCATAGTTGGATACATGTTGATCGCGTATAGTCTATTCAGAATAAGAATGTGCTCTTGCACATCAGATTTACGTAGCAAAACCGGTTTTGACCGTGGCCCCCCGGTGTCGTCTTATTCTGAATAGAGTGTAGTACATTAGAGCCACACAAATTTGTTGCACTTTGCATCAATTGAACCGATGACTACTGTGTGAATGACTGCGTGACTACTGTACCACCCCGCCCCAAATTTACTATATTATGTAAATAATCTAAAAGCCCTCAAAAAACATACATAAGTTCATAGCGATCTTAATAGGGTTGGCCAATTCGCCGCTCTCGGTCACTCGTGCGGCTTGCGTCTTATCGTAAGACGCAAGACATTATTGATTGTCGAAATCATGGCCGACATAATAGTTGGTAATCGGTATTATAACAGACAAAAATATTCCATACAAAATTTAATCTGATCTTATTGTACGTTATATTATTTTTTCGCATTCTCCACATTTGCTATTATCTTATCTTATTTTCGATAATTTAGAACCTTTTATTTCTTCTCTTCGATCTTACGAAATTTTCATTATACCTATAAATGTGCTAGGGCTCTTTAAGAACAGGTAAAGACAGCCGCCATTTTCTTTCCAATTGGAATTAATACAAATATTATACAATTAATACTTATCAAAACAAGTAAGTCTATGAAAAATCATTAACAATCGTTCAAATATATATTTTCCTGCCTTTATTCATTAATTACCAAAATTCAATTTCACAAAACAAATATAATAAATACATGACTAGCAACTAGCTATTATCATTTATCAGCTTTGGAAAGAGAATGGCCGCTGTCTGTACCCGAGTCTATTAGAGCCTAAATTGTGCGGCTCGCGAATGTTATTGCCAGCCACCCCTGATATATAATTAACATATTATCACGAAATATGAACAAAAGTATTATTATTATTATTGTGATCTCACCTTGTCGCAGTGGGGACAGTGTCTGGCTTTTGTGTCTGCCAGCGACCTGTGCGTCTGCCGATGCCGGGCCAAGTTGCTGGAAGTGCTGTAACATTTCCCGCAATCCGGACACTGACGTTCCTTGTTGTTGTTGGTCGTCTTTTTCGCAGTCTGCTCCGTAGTTATCGTGTTATGGTTGTTGTCATCTTCTTCGTCGTCGTCGTCGATGACCACACCATCGTTTTTCTACAACCAATTCACATAATATACCAAATAGGGTAAACGGAAAAAAAGTCTGCCGTTGCAGTATAAATAAAACAATATTTCCACTATACTTCTTATAAACATATTTTATTCAATTTTTAATTATTTTACGAGGGGTACATGTCTAAATAAATACATTTTTATATTTTTTAAATTATATTATTATATGTTTAAGATTATATATTATTTTCAATAAATTTAAAATGTACATAATTCTCTATAATATAAATACTTATCTATAATAATTTTTAATCCTAGAAAGGTACCTATTTAATTTAGTTGTTTGTTAATTATTTTCAATAAAAATATGTAACGTGTATTACCTATGGGCTATATAAATACCTATATGATATAAGACTGAATTTAAATCAAATATTAATTTGGAGACCATTTTTCAGTGAAACTTTCTTACCGGGGACTTTTTTTTCTAATATCAAAAAATAGTATGATGATAAAAACTTTTTTCGGAAAATTAAAAACACGTGCGCAAAAAAATTAATTAATCGTTTAAAAGTTATCGCTATAATCAACTTTTGATGATTTTCTAAACGACAACCAAAAGTGTGTTTAAATAAATTCATATTCTGCAACAGAATACTATTCATCCAAAGACGCATCGGCGCACATAAGTACCGAATGATTAAAAACGAAAATTTAAGCACAACAATAGTATAATTGATTTTTAAAAAGCTGTACTTGTTCGATATTTAAACACCATTATGATTTAAGTATATAAATTAATAGGTAATACCAACACGTTTGAAAATAAAAGTCTGTACGTACAGTTTACCAGACAACATCAGAATTGTAATTTAAATACGAATAAAACGGATAAGTGAATGTCGCTCTGCTGTACAATAGGTTACAAGTGGGTCACTGCAATGGGTGGTCTTAAATTTGAATTCAATGATAATAATATTATAATATCATTGTACACGAAAAACGATTTTGAGCGGAGACGGATTGTAAGCTTAGGATATTTATATATTTAAATTTAATTGTTATTACTTATTATTGATACGGTAGAGCCGGTGAAGTCGAATTATTTTTATTTTTATTTATATAAAATTTTTCAACTGCCATTGTACCAATATTTTAGGAACCTTGTATTAAATTTTCACGTTTTTTGACCCAAAAAATTAATTTATTGAAATTTATAAAAAAAAAAGACGGACACAAACGACTGATGTCATTAGTCAAGATTGGTAGGGTCGGTACGGTTGGTTAGGAACACACTACGACCCAGGTGGTCACCCATCCGGGAACTAGTTGCTTACTCTCAATCATGATGCGTGATTGATTTCAACCACTGCGCCGCTCTGAGACACGTACCTATATTTATTTTATGTAATAGATGGGTATTTATATTACAATGATTAATGCCTACTCAAAACATTACTACCTATACAAAATATAATCAAAATATAATTTAAAATGCGAGTAAAATGTTACTTTAATTTTATTCTAATATAGGCACAGGAACATATAGGAGGGATTTTTAAGCCTCCCCCCCCCAATATCAAACACTATATGCACCATAATTGTGTTTTGTGATTAATACCTACCAATAATTGTTTAAGAACTTCAATAACCTTAAAGGTTCCTACACACTGCAGCAATGGCGGTGGCGGTCACGGCAATGCCACCGCTGAAGTGTGTGGTGTCCTTTAATCTTTATTTAAAAAAAGTAATATACATATACTTACCTAGTTGAAAAATAAGTGAAATCTACCTAATCAAAAACATTATAAGGGGATTATAACTTATAAGAGGATGCAAAAGGTCAGTTACTTCAACCAAAATGTACCAATCTTTTTGTTGATCATAATGAGATTATATTATTTATATTTTTGAAAAGTGATTTGAATTTTGTATTATGTGTACTTTTAGGATCGTTCAGTCAGCAGTCTATTTTTTTTTTTAATTTTCATCCTAAACACCGGTATTTTTTATTTAAATTTTAATTATTCGAAATTAATGTAGATGCCTATTACCCGAGCTATTACCTATCCTAAAATGTGGCTTGATTGATCTCAAATAGATCAGATTTCAGAAGTTTTATCAGGTCCATCCGTAGGATTGACAAAAAGTAAATTATACAAAATATGATCACATTGTTTATGGTTCACGAGCGCAACCGCAAGACGGTAGCTTCACTGACTTGCACTTGCGCGTGCAGGAGAGGAGCTCGTTTCTTTCTTTTACACTATAAGCAAGCACACGAATGATGAGCACCCCGCACAAATTTAAAAGACCTAATTTGAAAATTGTCCATAGTTTTGTCATATCGTACAACACTCAGAAGGATGAAACCTGCTACTGACCATTATGAAATGTTTTAATTTTTTTTTTTTACGTTAAAACAACCAGGGTACGTGCACACAAAATAAATACAATTATGAAAAGTAAAAAATGTACTTATTATATTTTTATGTGTTGTATATAATACGACCAGTAACGCGATTTTATGCGCACAAAGCCAAATGGCACGCGACCGTTTTTAGAGATAGCGTGCACGAAGTACGCATAACCGCTCTTACCTTTATGACCTTTTCGTAGGCACTCGGACCGTCGATGATCGTGGCCGTGTGGTGTCTGAAGTAGACGATGCTGACTTCGGCCAACTGCGTCAGGTTGTACAGCTCGTCTCCGACCGACGACTGCTGAGCGTCGATGATGTGTTCGTACGAGTGTGGCATTTCTGTGGGAGAAAAAAAGTCGAGTGTTCTATTATCATTAGCCGACCACGACAACATTGTAATATTATAATCGATTAAAACAATAATATTATTATTATAACAACGATCGGTGATCGGGACTCGGGAGCAACGAAAGTGACGATCGGAATAATTGAACAAGTAACGCGACGGCAGCAAGAGAACCCTCCGCACTGCATCCGAGTGGCGACTGGCGAGTGCCGATAATAAATATTATGTTGTTGCTGAATATTGTAGCAATGCGCCAGTGACAACAAGTCCGACCACTTGATAGTTGATGTTATACGATAATATTTTCAATGGTGTTATTATTAATCTCGTTATCGACAAACGAAAATAATGTGACATTTAAAATATATTATAATAATAACATTTACCGTGATACGTGGTTTTTATCTTAACACCGTTTAAATGTTTAATGATAATATTACGTTAATAATTCTTAGGAGCCCGTACTGACGTACTGCGATCGTTAAATCCCATACTATTTCGTTGACAGATCGTAAGTTGTAATTAATAATAATAATATTGATATTTTGTCCGTCGACGACGTTTCCCTCACTCACCGACCACCGAGCAATAGGTACTCGGAAAGAACGACGACAATAATAGATATCGTGTTATCTGTATATATTTGCACATTTGTACCCGTGTTCCGTGTAATACGCACACATAAATAATTGTACAGTGTTTATTTTTAGATCGTTGGGTCGACATACTAGTAATATAATTATAATCGATAACAACTTGCAGTGTCCAGGTAAAAGGAGGTACTATATTATAGACACAAGCAATAAAAATAATATAACATTTTTTCGAATTGCCAATAAGCATTACCTATAATGGGCATTGGACAGCTCCTACCACACCATGACAAATATACTTTGTCATGTACCACACCACCTTTCCTGTAGTTCATGGGGAAGAAATAGACACATAGAGTGTGTGGGAAAACACTGTAAAGTCCCAAAAGTATATATCTTTCTCCCTAGGTTTCATTGGTTTCTTTCTATAGGTATATAAGTATATTCCCAAACGCATAATTCTATCTCTCTTGGCAATCACGTCCACTGCCCACTGGTCTCTCTCTATAAGCATTGTCCTTTTTTTTTATATAGGTCAGTAGTGGTTCCTATCACTTAAAACTTCTACGCTCCTTTTTTGATTAGTTATTAATAATAATTTTCATTGTTTGATGTTCTAGGACCTCAAAAAGTTTAAGAAACACTGCACTAGTTTATAGGCCTATGTCAACAGGTACAGTGCTAGATTAGGCGAGTACCCAAGTCTACTCACCTGGTCACAATAATATTAAGAAACGCCCCAAAAATCGCAAATTATAAATTCCTATTATTGGACCTAACCTAACCTATTATATTGTATAAGTACAACATAGTACCTATAATATATTTAAATTACCGGCCGGTCCCGTGTTCTATTCTTACAAACACCGATAGGAAATAACCCTTTTTCGTGAAAACCCGTGCACGGGAAAATCGTATCTATAAATATAATGTATACCGAGAAAAAACGCAAACGACATTTTGCATGACGTTCCCGCAGGCAATATACGACAATATCACATGGGCGGGGATACGCCATAAACCACAAGGATCGAATAAATTACGAAACTAATATTATCACTTATCATAGTTAGTTGATTTGTGTATGGCTTTTATTTATAAACACTGATTTATAATATACTTATACTAAAATCATAAATATGGTCCCGAGTTCTGACAATATTATGTACCGTCTAACTATTATTAAACCGTTTTTAATTATCCATGTATTGTGATTTGCGAAACGAATGTAAATAAATTAGAGTCGACGATATTGTGGTATCAATATAAAATACAAAATATCTGTACACCAATAATATTATAAAATAATGAAAATATGTGAAAATGTTAAAAAAATTATCATAGATGAAACCATTTAAAACTCGTCCGTGTCGTGTCCACTAGGCAATTTTTCATTAGGTAGAAAGTTGAAACCAGAACTCAGAAGCCAAATAATATTGTAGTGTTAAATATTAGTATTTTTTTTTTTAATAGGTAATTTAGCATTTTAATTGATGTTATACAATAGTATAATGTATTAATGTATATTGTAGTACAATGATATATTGTAACAATTATACCTCAGTAAGTTAGTTAGTACTTTTATATATTTCGGTATTATACGCATTACGTGGGTAAATGGACATTCCCCCCCCCCCGACTGATTTCGGTCTAGGAGAACATTTTCCCCCTATTTTTTTTAAAAGTTAATTATTAACTTATAATATTGAATTTAATAATATAATGTTATTTATTGTTTAATATGAATTTTTTTTAAAAATAAAATATTAATTATTTATTTTTATTTTTATAAATATAATAGATTATAAATGTTTATTTTTGATCAACTGAACTACTTACTTGAAACAATAAAAATAAGTAGGTATAAATTAAAAGAATCTAGGACGTTCCTCCCCCCCGTGCCTTTCCCCCCTGATACAAACCCCCCCGGACGGGACAATTTTCTCCCCGGACAAAAAAAAATAAATTGTATTAAACAACAATAGTATAAAATGCAAATAAATAAATGTACAATTAATGATTAAATTAATGTATAAATATAATTGTATAAATATAAATAAATGTACTGTTTGCAAAAATTAAATAATACAAATCAAAATAACCCAACTAATATATTTTATCCTGGTAAGATAGGTAGCTCACGGAATATAATAACGTCATATACCTAATTATTAATTACCCAAACACATAAGCAATAATAATATACAATGTAAATAAATAAATGTGCAAACGATTAAATGAATGTATAAATATAATGAATATAATAAAATAATAATATAATAAATATAATTGTATAAATGTATATTTTTATTTTTTTACTCTGGTAAGATAGCTCACTGAAATTAAAAAATGTTAAATATTAAATCGGGTAATAAATAAATAACGTGAATGATGATAATCGATTGATGCTGATATGGCGATATGATATAATGATATTATATTATGATGATCGTATATTTCGGGTAAATCCAAAGAACCTATTTTCAAACCTATTATTAGGTGAAAAAAAAAAGGTTAAAATTTAAGAAATACTGCTATCTACCACTTTTCGGGACGTGTGGCCGACGGGGGGAGGAAAACAATAAATTCAGAAAAAAAACGTTTTACGTTAAGAGGACGCCACACCCGCATGTGTTGTCTCCGTCTTACAAACGTATAACATAGCAAATTACGTCCACGGAAAACAAACGAATCGGCATCAAAAAGTGGTTTTAGAGTAAAAATACCTATAATAAAACTTAAAGAGAACAATATTTCGGAGGGAACCTCATCGGGGTTTTGTATTAATCTAAATACACAGCTAGATATTGAAGGCACAAAAACTCATTTTTTTAAATAACCACAACTTTTTTAATAGTTAATATTTTTAAAAACGCCGATGAGGTTCCCTCCAAAATATTGTTCTCTTTAAGTTTTATTATAGGTATTTTTACTCTAAAACCACTTTTTGATGCCGATTCGTTTGTTTTCCGTGGACGTAATTTGCTATGTTACGCGTTTGTAAGACGGAGACAACACATGCGGGTGTGGCGTCCTCTTAACTAGGTAGTTCATAAAATAGGTACCAATTTTATATAATAATTTAATAAAGTATAACAATTAACTTTGTAATCACACACTCAACAGTCAACGATACGATATTACGATGCAATTAACCCATAAGTCATATAGGCATTTTTAAATCAGTTTTAAATGAATATTTTATTTTTCCGAACATCGGTATAAAATAACACGTAAAACTTAAAATTCTACTCAATATGAAATGATGGTCGCGAGTGCGCGACACAAGCATAAAATAAAACGATCATCTTCTAGCACGTGCCACGTGTAAGTGTGACACCCGTGTCCTGTACTCCCGTGGCTTATAATTTACAAAGCTGACTTTATGCATAGTTTAGGTAATCATAAATACATGATAAGACATTCAAATGTAATAATATACTAATATGGATAGTAAATAAATGTGATGGACGATAAAAGTCCACTTCATCGGTTATGGTACTTATTAGGTTATGGTTTGGAAAAAAGGTATAAAAAAAAAAATCCCCAGATATGTGTACGGTCTCAACCAAGTGTAGGTACAAATTTGATTTATGTTTTGATTTACTTGTTATATTCCAGGTAGAAACTTTATGTTTTCAACAGTTTAATCAGAGCAGACAGATTTTGAAATGGTTGTTTTCAACTTTAAAATTTACAGTAGAATAGATGAAATTTTTTTTTAAATTTGTAGACATAATTTAATTAATTACACCATTGTTATCAAACACGTAGTTTTTTATCCACCAATTATTTTAAGTTTACATAAGACGTGTGAAGTGACAATTAACTGTGTAATTTTTTTAGAACTATTTGAAAACTGATTATTCAGATGGGCACCTTGAAAAAAATCCTCCAGGAGTCTTTTATAGTTGAATGTGCTGCTTGGCAACCCGACACTGCCTATGTAAGTGGACTAAAATAAGAAGCCAATTGGTTTCCAAATCGTTGACCTTATCGGAAGAAACTCTCGATATTATACCGTCCACAAATACTTCATGATGCACCAATGTTGCTGCACAATCAGACGCGAGTTTATATAGTAATATAATATATATAGCATGCAATATACAGAGGGATCTCTTGATGGATGGGTAACTTCACACACGCAGTATCACCCTGTATTCCTACTTTGCGAGGCGCTGTGTTGTCACCGAATATATAATAATATTATACATCATTACACGGCCGTCGCACGTGGAAGACGTGGAACATTGACGTACACATATTATATATATACTTTTCGAGTGAGAATATATAAATATACTTTAATATAATATGTTATTCGTATATGTATAGTACATACATATATGTTATATATTTACACACACAATCTTCGGAGGACACATGGCTCGGCGCCGCCGCGTAAGTGTGTGCCGCCGCAGGTGACATTTTCCTCCCTACCGCTCCGGATCA